TTGACGCTTTCGTTAATAAGTCTTAAAAAATAATAACTAGATTCCATTAATTTTTTGAATGTTAAAATCAAATCCTAATAATCTAGTAGGTTGTTAGATGTTAAAAATTTAAATTTTCATTTGTCTTATCACGTAGAAACTATGCCTAAGTATTAAATTGTTCATATCATTTACAAAATCATGCATATATATGTTACTTTGTTTTTTTAACACCTAGAAATCATGTCTATAGGGTTGTAAATAAACTTTCAGCATATCCATAAAAAATAAAATTTGTTTGTGCATATTTGAGCCCTCCCCCTAAAATTAGTTAATATTATTTAACTAGTAATCCTATTTGTTTTCCGCATTCATGATGCAATTTTTTTTTAATAATACTAATTTAGAATCATTTCATGCATTTAACTTGGCTTAAAAAGTTATTATTCAATCTTCCTTTAAAATTTTGGATTGATTATGACATTGTTTATTTTTTTTGAAATAAATTATAAAGCACTATCTCCTAACATCTCGTTAGTGGGAAAGTCAAAGAAACTACGAGGTCTAGTTCCAATTTTTAAACCCGACGCATCCTCGGAAGTACCACCTACCCTTGAATTTCAAAAGGAATTATGTGTATCTATATGTTTATGTGCCTATATGCAAACTAAATCTTTTAATCATTTTTTCAAAAAATAAACTCTTGTTTTTTTAAAACCGACCTCAAATCAAAATTGTTTCTACGGTGGAGGAGCGCGATCAACAATATCGTGGCATCATCCCTATAAAGAAACAAACATTTTTTTCAAAAAATAAAAATTCATATTCAAAACTTGCTCAATTTTCAAAACTTTACTTTCGCATATGTTAATTGCTTAATATTTACAAACTTTGTTTATAACTTAGTTTCATATGCTTAAATAAAAAATTAAAAATTTGATTGTTTATTTATTGCTATAACCTAGCCTTGCATGCTTAAATTAATGAAAAAAATAGTATTAAATGTTTTGTATTTGTTATCACTAAGCAAGATTAAATAAACTATTAAATGAAGTGACTTTTGTTTGCTAATTGTAATCCCTACATAGATTGCATGAGATACGGCCGGGACCCACACTTGTGGACCTCGAAGGATGCCTAACACCTTCCCCTCGAGGTAATTTGAACCCTTACCCTAATTCTCTGGCTCTTTGACCTTATTTAGACTTAGTTAGGTTAGATAGGTGCCCTAACGCGCCTTAATTCGTTAGGTGGCGACTCCAAACTCAAAATCCCAAAAGAGTTGTTAGGTCGTGCACAAAACCCGTTTTCTGCGAAAATGGGGCGCGACAGAATGGCGACTCCGCTGGGGATATTAGGTTCTTACCATTACGTGTTAATTGCTTATTTATGTGGGGTTTATTTCATTTTTGGTCATTTCACTATTTGTTAGGTGCTTACCATGTTTCCTTATTTATTGTCTTCTCTCCATGTTCCACTCTTTCCCTTTTCCTTAATTGTTTATTATCATGTTTCACCTCTTCCCTTTCCCCTTATTTGCTTACATGTTTAGTCTCGTATTCTCCTGCTTTATTTGTGTAGTTTTCATATCTTTATATGTTTAATTTCCTTTATTCATGCTTATTTATTTATTTATTGTTTATAAGTTGCCTATATGTTACCGCTTTCCAATTTGAATGCTAAATGTTTATTGCTTTGATAATTGGCATCCCGCTCATACTTCCCCCAATTGGGACCCTCTTCCTTTTTTTTATTTTGTTCTCGTGATGTTGTGCCTTTGCACCTCTCACAACTACTCCATCTTATTCAAATACCCATTATAGAGAGTCGGCATATGCGTGGACGTAGTGGATAGTTTTACTACCGCGAAGCCACGAGCCTCTCGCATAGAATCTCTTTCAAGTCCGTGTCAAGCCACTCTTAGAAGTCCTGGTTAAGTCATACATGCTGCATAAGCCCTAAGTGATTTGACCCTTGGCGTCAATCCATATAATTAGTAGCCAGCCTCTCGTCTAAAGGGCCCCAACACCCTTAGACAAATTGCATATTTATGTGTCAACGTGATCATAATAATTAAATCAAGTCAACATTGCCAAAATGGAGTTTAGAAGTTGTTTGTTACTTTGTTTGCAGAGTCATGGCTCACCCTCACTTTCCCAACACGCAAATTGTGGTCAAAGTTAATCCCATTTTGAAGACTTGGTGGAAGGATATTTAAAAAAATTGAGAGTTAGAAGCAAATGAATTGTTAGGCGGCCTCACTGATTTGATCTCCGTAGAGTCAGATCGTCACTTAATCAAGGCATTGTTGAAATTTTGGGACACTGAGAGGTTAGTCTTCAAATTCAAGGATTTCGAGTTAACCCCAATAATCGAAGAAGTTGGAGGATTCATGGGTCTCGCATACAAAGAGTTGGAAATGATTGTTCCACACAAGCCAAGTCCAAGATCTTTTCTGAAGCAAATGGGCATGTGTCATAATCCAAATCTACTTTGTCTGAAAGAAGGTTGAATTTCTTTAGAGTTCTTATATTCACGCTTTGGGGATGAGGAAGGTCATCAAAACTTTCATAGAGAATTTGCTTGCTCTTCTGCAAAATGGGAAAGGTATCGTCTTAATGCATTCGCCGTCGCCCTATTAGGCTCATTGGTTTTTCCTAGAGAAGGAGGAAAGATCCACACCGGCTTGTGTTATGTGGTTCGTATGTTGGCTCGAGGTGGGAAGACCTTGGTCCCCATGATACTTGCAGAAATTCTAAGAGCTTTGACTGCATGCACCAAAGGCAAAAGATACTTTGAGGGGTGCAACTTTCTGCTGCAACTTTGGGCCGTCGAACATTTCTACCAAAGAGCTAATAAAGTAGACATTGTTAGAGGGACTATGGGGAACAAAATTATCAACCATCCCCTAAGAATGAAACATTTTATCTCCCCTATGGGAACGGAGGACTGGTTCACATACCTAAAGGAGCGCTCAGCCGTTGAAATCCAATGGAAGTATTATTGGTTGAAGCCACGACGTGCCATCATAAGAGGAAATGAACTTTACTTCATTGAGCTTATCGGTTTGAATGGTGTGCAACCATACGCACCACTTCGAGTCCTTCGACAATTCGAACAGATCCAAATGATACCTCTGCGATCCCACATGAGCCACTATGGATATGATTTTGGGTCAGAATTACCGCAAGTGAACATTATACTGTGAAGATGGAAGAATGTGATAACTATCGATGTTCAAGAGCACCGACCGTTCTGCACACCTGAATATTATGTATGGCTTTTAGAAGATGCAGAGCATAGAGATTTGAGCGAATGAGGTCTTCCTGGTTTTGGCAATGAAAAAGAGAGAAGGTGGGCTCGCAACCTCCTCAACACTAATTATGACGTTACCCCAGAAATGAAGAAGCAGATTGTGCCTAACATTGGAGAGCAACATGATTAAAGTTTTTTTTTATTATTTATTTCTCTTTATTCCCCATGTGTTATCCCTAGCCCTTTAGTTATCTCTAGATTGATGTAATAAATAGAAATTATTTCAATAATTGAAAGTCGTTTTATTGTCTAACTCTAAATTCCAAATTGACAAATAAGGCTTGAATTAATTATTATGCATCACATATGTGTCGCTTAGGCCTACCTCTGGCTCAACGAGGTTCTGTGCATTTAGGGCGTTTATCTCAAAATAACGTGTTGATATTGTGATATTATCTTAACCCCCTAACTCTTTTCTTTTGATTCTATTGTTTTCCCATTTCCCAAGGTTGATCTGTCCTTCATCCTGGCACATACACGATCAAAAGGGACCCCCCCTTCTCCTTCTTCTCAAAGAGCAAGCTCCAAAGACAAAGGTAAAATGGTTGACGACAACAACACCACTGAAAGGGTAGAAGCTTCTCAGGGAGGACAACTTCAAAATGATCTTGTCCTAAGACTTGAGCGCAAGATTTCGCAATTGGAAGAAGAGGTAGCTCACATGCGTGATTTGGCCAAGTTGTCTATCTCTCTTGGAACTCAATTTGGAGAAAACATAGACAATCCTCCTAACCAAACAGCCACGCCAAACAATCCTCCAATCCATATATCCCCACCTGAACCCACTCGTCCAAATACCTTTCCACCACCCCACGCCCAAAATACCCAAGTTCCATTTCACCACTATTACCAACATACCAAACCAACCTTCCCAGAGACAACCCCAAACGCAAATATCCCATATACTTTTGGGAACAACAATCCCAATCCCATATACGTTGAAACTGCCCTCTGACCCATGACCTCCATGAATCAGAGCCCCATCAGAAAGATCTCCTAATAAAAACCCTGACTGAGAGATTAGACAACTTGACCAACAAGGTACAACACGTCGAAGGAAACAAGAAGTTGGGAGGATTGAGCTGTGAGGATCTGTGCATGCATCCTGATGTAGAACTGCCCGAGGGTTACAAGCTCCCAAAATTTGAGACGTTCAATGGCATTGGGAATCCTAAAGCCCACCTACGAATGTATTGTGACAAACTTGTAGGGGTAGGGAGAGATGAGAGGATACTCATGAAGTTGTTCATGAGGAGTCTTACTGGGGAGGCCCTATCATGGTACATTGAGCAAGACTCGCGGAAATGGATAAAATGGGTTGATATGGCAACTAACTTCATGAATATGTTTGGTTTTAATTTTGAAAACGCACCTGATTGATTTTACATTCAAAATCTGAAGAAGAAACCAACTGAATCCTTCAGAGAATATGCCATAAGATGGAGGTCTGAGGCGGCTAGGGCCAGAGCCCCTATGGAAGAATCTAAAATGAAAGACTATTTCATCCGTGCCCAAGAACCACAATACTATGACCGAATGATGCTGGTGGCTGAAAAGAGTTTCGCTGAAATCATCAAACTAGGCGAAAGAATTGAAGAAGGCATAAAGAATGGGACTATCATCAACTTGGAGGCTTTACAAGCAACCAACAAGGCTCTGCATCTGGTGGAATGACAGAGAGTCGAAAGAAAACAGGTTCTGTAATGATGGCTCATGGAACTAGAACGCCTTTTAGGCATAAGACAATAAACCCACCACTATCCCCATACCCTCAACATCCCTCAGCTCCACCCCCTATATCTCCCCAACCCATGCAAATATATTACCAAAACGCTCCTCCTCAATATTTGCATACCTCATATCCTGTCTATAATGTTCAACCAACACACTTCCAAACTCCACCACCCACTCAAACACCAAATTACCGAAACAAACCTTCCTATGAAAGAAGACCTACAAAAACCTATACCCCTTTGGCTGAACCCATAGCACAACTTTATGAGAGATTGAAACAGGCTGGGTACGTCTCTCCAATTCCTGCATTACGTGTGGATGTTTGCGCGAAATGGTACGACCCTAACAAGGTCTGCGCCTACCATTCTGGGATGAAGGGCCACACCACTGAAGTTTGCAGAGCCCTTAAGGATAAAGTTCAAATGTTGATTGATACAAAAACCATCCAACTGAAGGATCCTACACCGAATGTTGCGAATAATCCTCTCCCTAACCATCAAGTCAACATGGTGGAAGCTGGTGATGTCTGGGATTGGAAGAATCTATCTGGGCCGTCGAAACAGAAGAAGCCATGTCTACCACTGCCCAAGCACCACTAATAGTGCAAGGACTCGCCCCATTTGAAGTAGAAGTTGCTGCACCCAGATCACCGTTTGCTGTCTATAAGGCATCCTCCCCAATACAATGTGACACACATGCTGTACCTTGGGATTACAACAAAAAAGAAACAAATGTGGAAGAGACAGATGTTGCAACAGGGGTCACCAGATCTGGAAGAATTTACACTTCTAAAAATTTGGTTCAGGGAAGCTCTAGCAAATCCAAAGCACCAGTCGTAGAGCTTGAGGATCAAAGTATTTGGAAAAAGGTTAAAGCTAAAGAATACTCTGTCATTGAGCAGCTGAGTAAAACCCCTTCCCAAATATCAATTCTGGAGTTACTGCAATCTTCCGAAACTCATCGAGATGCCCTTCTGAAGATCCTTGGTGAAGCTTATGTCCCATCTAACATCACTCATGGAGAGGTATCCCAAATGGTGGGGCAGGTCTTTGAGGCTTACAAAATATCTTTTCACAAAGATGAGCTGCCAATCGAAGGAAACACTCACAATAAAGCTTTGTACATTTCGGTTCAGTATCAGGATAAGGTGATAAACAAAGCATTAGTTGATGCAGGTTCAGGTTTAAACATTTGCCCTCTGAGCACACTGACAAGGCCGGGTGTGGATAGTGCAAAAATTCAGACATGGAAGATGAATGTGAGGGCATTTGACGGCTCTCAGAGAGGCACTATTGGGGAGATAACCTTGGACATGCTCATTGGTCCCGTAACTTTCCCCATAGCTTTCCAAATTTTGGACATCCCTTCATCGTACAACTTATTGTTGGGTCGTCCATGGATTCATATGGCTGGAGCGGTTCCATCTACTCATCACCAATGCCTGAAGTTCGAATGGGATTACGAAGAGGCTGTAGTCCATGGGGAAAAGGGGCATCCTGTATACACGATTGAAGGAAGAGAGAACATGGATGGCGAAATGTACCATACAGTGGAGCTTGTTGGTAATATTGAGTTGCAACCTTGGTTCAGTCAAAAAATCATAGATATGATGGCCTGGTTCGGTTTCAAGCTTGGGAAAGGTTTGGGGGCTGAATTACAAGGGATAGTCGAACCTATACAGCCTGTTCGACATTCCACCACTTTTGGTTTGGGGTATAAGTACACCACCGAAGAATGGCTCGATTGGCGACCACCTAGAGATGGGTACTACTATCCATTGAAGAAACCCATACCGCCATTGTATCAATCATTTCGATCAGCAGATTTCATGGGAGGAAGTATTGATGAGATCTCAGACGACTTGAAGGGGTTATCACTAACCAAAGAAGAGGGGAAAGTTTGCAACGTCGTGATCAACGAGGAGGAGAAAGGGGGCCCTAGTGGAAGCAAGGAAGCAAAGATCAGCGTCAGCAACTGGACCTTGACTCCATCCAGACCTCGTCGAGCATCTGGGTAGCCTTGGAAGATGTTTTTCTATCAAGTTTTAATAAAAGAGTTTTAATAAACGTTTTAATTCCCATCCCCTGTATTGCTTTCGAATGAGGACTTATGAAATTTTCAAATCTTTATGAATAAAGTTCTTTTCCCCATTTTTTGTCTTATATTTAATTTTTGCTACTTTTTTTCTCACCAGCAAAATTCATTATAAAAATGTCGAATCTGAGACTATAGCATACAATGAGACTGCTCAACTTAACATTAATGACTTAGAAGAAGTCGAAGACAATGAGGTTCCCGAGGAGTTAATCAAAAGGTTTGAGGAGTTCGAGGAAAAACCCAATCCAAATTTGGTAGAGACAGAAGTGGTGAATTTGGGAAATGCAGAGGTGATACAAGAAACCTGGGTAAGCATCCACATGACAAAAGAAGACAAGAAAGAGTACACCGAGTTTCTCATAGAGAATAAGGATATTTTCGCGTGGTCCTACGCAGACATGACAGGGCTAAGTACTTCAATCGTAGCCCATCGACTGCCACTGATCCAGCATGTCCTCCGATAAAACAGAAGTTGAGAAAATACAAGCCCGAGATGAGTCTGAAAATCAAAGAAGAAGTATCAACACAATTAGATGCTGGGATACTCCAAGTGACAGAATACCCAACTTGGCTTGCAAATGTCGTTCCAATGCCCAAGAAAGACGGCAAGGTCAGAGTTTGCGTGGATTACCGAGATCTTAATAAAGCTAGCCCTAAAGATAACTTTCCATTACCAAACATACACATACTGATTGACAATTGTGCTAAGCACGAAACTCAGTCATTTGTGGACTGCTTTGCCGGCTACCATCAAATTGAGATGCACAAAGACGACTCTGAGAAAACTGCCTTCATCACGCCGTGGGGCATCTATAACTACAAGGTGATGCCTTTTGGACTAAAGAATGCTGGGGCTATGTACATGAGGGCGATGACTACTTTGTTTCATGACATGATCCATAAGGAAATTGATGTTTATGTGGATGATGTCATTATCAAATCAAAGGAAAGTTCAAATCATTTGGAGGATTTACGGAAATTCTTTGCCAGGCTACATAAGTACAATCTGAAACTGAATCCGGCAAAATGTGTCTTTGGTGTGCCTGCTGGAAGGCTTTTAGTTTTCATTGTCAGTCGTCGAGGTATAGAATTGGAACCGTCGAAGATCAAAGCCATTCGTGATCTTCCCCCACCAAAGAGCAAGAAGGAGGTAATGAGTTTCTTAGGGTGACTTAACTACATCAGTCGTTTCATTGCTTAGTCTATTGTCATCTGTGAACCTATTTTCAAGCTGTTAAAAAGGATGCTGCAGTGAAATGGACAAGTGAATGTCAACAGGCATTTGACAAGATCAAAGACTATCTATCCAATCCTCCTGTATATTTCAGTATTGGATAATGCTTTCAGTTGTATCTTGGGACAACACGATGAAACAGGGAGGAAGGAGCAGGCAATATATTATATGAGCAAGAAGTTCACATCGTGCGAAGCTCGATACTCTCTACTAGAGCGTACCTGTTGTGCTCTAACATGGGTTGCCCAAAAGTTACGACATTACCTTTCATCTCATACTACTTATCTGATTTTAAGGATGGATCCTTTGAAGTATATCTTTCAAAAGCCCATGCCCACAGGTAAACTGGCAAAATGGCAGATATTGTTGAGTGAATTTGACATAGTGTATGTCACACAAAAAGCAGTGAAAGCACAAGCATTAGCAGACCACATGGCAGAGAATACCGTGGATGATGATTATAGGCCGTTGAAAACTTACTTCCCAGATGAAGAGGTGGCCTTTGTGGGAGAGGATGTTTCTGAAGAATATGATGGATGGAGAATGTTCTTTGATGGAGCTAAAAATCTGAATGGAACCGGCATCGGGGCTGTTTTGATCTTACCCACTGGGCAACATTATCCAGTATCAGCAAAACTCAGATTCCTTTGCTCAAATAATATGGCCGAATACGAAGCCTGCATACTAGGTCTCCGACGGGCGATCGACTTGGATGTCCCGGAAATGCTAATAATAGGGGATTCAGACCTATTGATCCATCAGGTTCGAGGTGATTGGGCAACAAAAATTGAAAGTTGTTACCATATTTTGAATGCGTGCATAGGCTATGTAAAAGGTTTGTCAAAACAGAATTTAGACATGTACCAAGGGTCCAAAATGAATTCGCAGACGCCTTAGCCACTCTGTCTTCTATGATTCGACACCCTGATCACAATTACATCGATCCTATTCACATTCATATACATGAACAACCAACTTATTGTTTCCATGTTGAGGAAGAGCCTGATGGAAAGCCCTGGTACGATGACATTAGAAGATATTTGAAGAGTGGTGAATACACAGAAGATGCAACAAGTGTAGAAAAGCATACAATTCGAAGGTTAGCAACCCAATTCTTTTTAAGTGGGAAAATCCTCTATAGGAGAACTCCCGATTTGGGACTGCTAAGATGCGTCGAAGCAAGAAAGGCTCGCAGGCTGGTCGAAGAGATACATGCAGGCACCTGTGGCCCTCACATGAATAGTTTTACATTAGCAAAGAAGATTCTGAGATCGGGATATTATTGGCTAACTATGGAGACAGACTGCATTTGCTACGTCCAAAAATGTCATCAATGTCAGACTCACGCAGATATGATTCGAGTACCTCCCAACGAACTCCATGTCACTAGTTCACCTTGGTCGTTCGCAGCATGGGGCATGGATGTCATTGGTCCAATCGAGCCAACAGCATCCAACGGGCACAAATTCATTCTTGTCGCAATTGACTATTTCACCAGTGGGTTGAGGCCACCTCCCATAAATCAGTGACAAAGAAAGTTGTGGATGACTTTGTCAAAAACAACATTATTTGTAGGTTTGGAATTCCTGAGTCAATCATCACCGACAACGGCACCAACCTAAACAGTGACTTGATGAGATCAATGTGTGAGAAGTTCAAGATCAGTCATCGAAACTCTACAGCATACAGGCCACAGATGAATGGGGCTGTTGAGGCGGCAAACAAAAACATCAAAAGAATATTGCGCAAGATGATCGATAATCACAAACACTGGCAGGAAAAGCTACCTTTCGCATTGCTGGGGTATCGTACCACAATCAGAACTTCCACAGGGGCCACACCTTACTTCTTAGTATATGGCACTGAAACTGTGATACCCCCCGAAGTTGAGGATCATCCAAGAAGCAAAGTTGAGTGATGCTGATTGGATACAAGGTCGGGCAGAGAATTTGGCATTAATAGATGGAAGAAGAATTAACGCCATTTGTCATGGTCAGCTCTATCAGAATAGAATGGCCAGAGCTTTCAACAAGAAGGTTAAACCCAGACATTTCTCACCTGGGCAACTGGTTTTGAAGCGGATTTTTCCAAATCAAGACGAGGCAAAGGGTAAATTTTCACCAAACTGGCAAGGTCCGTACATAGTCTCTCGAGTACTGACAGGCGGAGCCCTCATACTTGCAGAAATGGATGGAGAAGTTTGGCCAAAACCTATCAATTCAGATTCTGTGAAAAAGTATTACATCTAGAGATTGATTCATGCTTTTTGTAATTGGAACTACGTCAGACCTGATTCCCGTTTAAGAGGGGATACGTAGGCGCTCCTATGGTGTTCGGTCTTATTATAACTAAAACTTTCATTTCCCCCTATTCTATTGATAACTGGGGCAGAATTTTTGAGAGGATCTCAAAAATTCCATCAAGATTTCTCCTGTCACATCTTCATACTGGGGCAGAAATTTTGAGTTTTTACTCAAAATTTCACCAAAAGTTTCTTCTCAACAAGCAGTCAGCTTACAACAAAGATTAAATGATAGCTCCACTTTTGAGTCAGACGTTGTAAAATCTCAACCTATGCCATGGTCAAAGATTCGACATCAGCTTTTATTATTATTATTATTTTCTTTCCTTTCCCCTTCTTATGAAAAAAAAACAGACACTCGAAGAGGTGGGGATGGCAAGCCAAAGGAGCACGCTGCGCCAAATCATGGATACAGATCAACCTCCCCCCCTTTAAAACTAACTATTTTTCTTTGAATGTAGAAAATACAGGTACATATACAAAGGCAACCGCAACAATCAACATCACCACATTTGAGCCCGACATATGACACTCGATCCTTCCAATAAGGCGGACGCCCAAGCTATTGTATGCCCTCAAGCAACTGCTGTGCTGACAAATTACATTATGCCCGATATTGCATCATTTTGCACCTACGCCTGATATCACACTATGCTCAAAGATCTACATCATTATATTATGCCCGAGAATGCCGAAATACATCATTGCATGTGCTCGATATTTCATGTGCCCGAGGAAATACATCATCACATATGCCCAATATTGACTTATGCTCGAAGAATTGCATTATTGCATGCGCTCGATATTTTATGTGCCCGAGGAAATGCACCATTACATATGCTCGATACTGCATGTGCCCGATATTACATTATGCCCGAAGAAGTGCATCATTGCATTGTGCTCGATATTGCATGTGCCCGAAGAAATGCATCATTACATGTGCTCGATATTGCATGTGCCCGAAGAAATGCATCATCGCATTGTGCCCGAGACTGCATTGTGCCCGAAGTTTGCATAAGCTCAAGATTGCATCGTGCTCGAAGTTTACATGCGTCCGAATCAAATCAAGTCACAAGAGTATCAATAGATGTCAAAAACAGATACGCTCTCTTTACTCATTATTTATATCCCAAAGGCGTCATCCTCCAAAGGCGTCATCTCTCATGGCCTGCGGACTTCATGTCATGGCCTGAGGACTTATTTTATGCTTACCATGTCCCTAAGGTATCATAGTCTAAAGGCATCATCCTCATGGCCTGCGGACATCATATCATGGCCTAAGGGTTTAATTTTTGTCTATCATAATCTAAAGGCGTCATAGTCTAAAGGCGTCATTTTCATGGCCTACAAACAACATTTTCATGACCTGAGGATACACCCTGCATATCATGGCCCTAGACATCATAGCCTAAGACGTCATTTTGCATGGTCTTAAGGCAAACATTCATGGTCAACATGGGAATTGCATCATGTTTACATATGTATGTTCTATTTACTCTATTTAAGCTATATTACAAGTTACAGATGTGCAGATCACAAACAAAGGCGCCGTTTGAACGGCTGTTCACTTGTTTACAAAACAAAGGCTCTGATAAATTCTTGGCTACTCGCACTATCGTTTCGCTACTCATCTATCATTCAGGCTACCATGAAGATATATTCGGATTCAACTCGCCACTGTGACTTTCTATCTCTTCAGCTAGGCTCGTCCGCCTTACAATGCGACATCTAGGCTCGTCCGCCTCAATGTGACACCTAGGCTCGTCCGCGTTACAATACGACATCTAGGATCGTCCGTCTTACAATAGGACATTTAGGCTCGTCCGCCTTAAAACGACATTTAGGTTTGTCCATCTTATAGGACATTTAGGTCATCCACCTTAAAGGGACATTTAGGCTTGTCCGCCTCATAGGACATTTATTCGTCCGCTTTATATGACATTTAGGCTGTCCGCCTTAAAACGACACTTAGGCTCGTCCGCCTTAAAATGACGTTTAGACTCTCCTTATAACTAGATATTTTCGTCTATATTATTATATCTTTATAGTATCAAATCTATTGGAGTTTGACGTCATTCTTCAGAGATGTGTTCAATCCTTCAAGAAGTTACAGACTATCAAGGCTTGCAGTACGTCTCAAACAGATACGCTTTTTATCACCTCTTGTCTATTTAATAGAACTCATATTTTATTATTATTGGTCATACTTTATCTATTTATAAGCTAACATTTTATCTAGAATTTGCAGATATGATCGATCGCCCTTGATTACAAGTATCATGCTATCATCTATCCCAGCAAAGACCCTATCAATTCTTTGCTACTCATACTCCGAACCGTGCTCCAAAAGTTGATTGCCTTACTCTATCATGCTCTTCTCGCTTCTCTCTCATGCTCTTTTAGCCTCTCCATCTCTCTCTTCTCACTACTCTAATCTTATCCATTCAAGCCGATGTCGTGCCTTACGAATACCTTACAGCTCTTTCAACTTTTAAGAGTTTCATTTGCTCTTGAATCTAGAACTACACACGACCTGATTCTCGTATAACCAGAGATATGTAGGCGACTTAAAACCAAAGTCTCGGTCGTACCCTTTTTCAACTCTATATCATTTCAATTGATCCAACTGACATCTCTAGTCGGTCGGACAAAATCGGCTACTAAGTCAACGTTGGTTGCCTGACAATTCATTCTTCATTCTCAATCAACCAAGGGGCAGCTGTTGACACCAAATTTTGACCGACCTTTAACCATTTTTAGGACTATATTGACTAAATACGTATTTTAAAGTTTTAATCGATTTTTTTCTCAAAATTATATATTTTAGTATCATTTACTTTATAGAATTATTGTAAATATTATTATATTTTTTAAAATTATTAATGAATTTCAAATGTTTTAAAATTTAAATGATTTTCAATTATACAAAATATTTTAGAAATTATTTAAGTTCTAGCCTATTTTATTCTAATTTCTTTTAATTCTAACCACTCCAATTAAAATTTTATTACAATCATAGCCATCTCTTCCTTTAAATTCTAGCCAATTTTAATTGCAATTTTAGCCATTCCGTATCTAACTCATCTAATTTCAAGACTTGATCTTTTGATCTCATCCGTCCATTTTAATTAATAAATCCTAGATCGAATCCTAACCCTTCATCTCTATCTAAACCGACGGTTGTGATTAAATCTCCCATTCTCTTTCTTCAACACCAAAAGAACCTAAAACCTAAATTTTTAATTCATTCTCTTCCTCCCCCCCTCTCCAAGCCGCCTCTCCTCTCTCTCTCTCTCTCTCCCTCTCTTCTTCTCCCTCCCGTCGCTCCTCCTCCTCCCTCTCCTCCATTTTTTCCGGCAAGGAGACAGCCAGAAGGAAGCCGCCGCAGCACTGCTGCTCTTCTCTCTCTTCTCCTCACCTTCTCTCTTCCTCCCCTCCATCTCACCAGCCGCCATCCCCCACCTTCTCTCTTCCTCCCCTCCATCTCACCAGCCGCCATCCCCTCCTTCTCTCCTCTTCTCCCTCTCGTTCAGCTCGTTCCCTTTCCCCTCTCCTTCCTCTTCTTTTCTTTTTGCAGGGTCCAACAGTCACAGGA